CCCCGGATAAGTCCCAAAAGATGCTTCAGTCGGTGTGCATGAACTTAAATTGACCCCGACACACGCCGAACTCACTTAGGTGGGAGTCATGTCACGTGGTGAGAACGCGCGATAGAAGCAGTTTTACTGATAGGTCTTGATGACGGGCCCGACTAATCAGAACTCGGACAAAGCTTGTTTTGAAAATAACAGCAGAACTACGAATAAAATTGATCATTTGTGCATCGCAATTTAAACTAAACAGTTATCAGGCCATTATCGGAGAATTCTGAGTTGAAACAAAGATAAAAGCGAAAATTATCTAGGGCCTAGGTCTTGAGAATGTCTCAAGTCGGAATGCCAAACCAATACTACTTCCATTATACATGTACTTGAAATAACACATGTGTGCAAAGATCCAACACAACTACTAAACTCGGCATCGACATTTCGGAAAATAGTGCTCCGGGTTTCTGCTGACAAAAAGTTTAACGAGTGCTTCCCTCGACAGAAAAGAAGGCAGAGTAAGATTTTAGAAATTCCGGCACAACAGACGGAACAAAAAAAAATCGGGATACACACGATCAAAATCGGGAGAATCGAGATGCTTGAAATTTGGGGCAAAAAAATCTGGATATCCCGATTACATCGGGATGAGTGGCAGGTTTGGAAAATAAACTAGATCTAATTCATTATTCTTCAGAGCCATCCCAGTCTTTCGATGGCGGACTATTCATGGTTACTAGATCTAGTGTGTTAAAGAAGGATGGGGGGTAATCTCACGGCAAAGGTAAACTCAAGGCACGACACCGGCAAATATAATGCAAGCGACCAGAATGTGGGCGGAGCTTCTCTGCTCAAGCAGGCCGTGGGTCGCCGGAAATTTCACGCAGCTGATAAGTAATAAGTAGATTCTAGGTCCACTGCTTCTGACACAGAGTCACAGACAAAAGGTGACTGGGGTATCACGTGTGTGGGTGTGTTGTTAAATCATTGACTCGACTTCGGAGTAGAGAAGGGGGAAATGATGATTGCCAGACGCACACCACCTACGTTTAAAAGCATATGCAAACCCCCGAAACGAAATTTTAAAGAGTAATGCTCGCGCACCACCAAAACTTTAAGGGGGTAATCTGCAGGTTTAATGTGTAATATACACACATCTGTGCGTAAAGGGGAGCCCTGATACCTACATCAGTATTTCATTTGTTTTTCTTGGGACAATCTATACTTGTCTGATAATTACAGCAGCAAAGGGTAAAAATAACTTTGAGAGCAACGAAATCCCAAAATACCTCCTAGATTCTGTTTCACATGAGCGGATCAGAATGGGTGCAGAATTCACATCCTGGTGTGTTTTTTTAATGACTTCTATTGCCGATTCAGACACAGGAACTTGATCTTAATAAAAAAGTGATACTGAAAACATTCCTTAGAGTCTTGTTTTTACTTTCTTACTACATTTGTTTACCATATAGGTAGTCTTTAAGGCTGTGAAACATTATCTTTTTCTTTATTCTTACCCTTCATCTTTGTTTCTGTTTATCAAAAACTGTTTCATATATTGAATTCAAATTATTTACAGAGCCAGAAGCACTGTTTTGAAATTGTTTTCATCTAGTTTTATGACTTTTCGTTGATAATTACAATTTTTTTCTTTTTTTTTAAAAACATAATAAGCGTGCATTAAAAACATAATCCTCAGGCATAGGCAACAGCTTAAGGCTAGGGCCTTCATATTCAGGGACTTTATATGAACTGTTAATAGAGGAAGTAGAAACCTATGTAAACTAAAGGTACTGTTGTACATAAGTAAGAAAGAGCAATCACTTCAGCTGCTCTCACCTGGTACCCGTAGGACAGCACAGAAGAGACCAAGAGGGCTCCAATGATGTTACCTACGGAAGCACAAGAACTCCACAGGCCCAGTAAAACACCTCGGCTAGAATGTGAAAAAAAAAAAGAAAAGAAAAATGTAACTTCAGACAATGAATAAAACATAGAGTCCTGAAAGAGCAACCTTTTTTAAACACTTTGCAGTCACTTGCTGCAACAATGTGCCGATAAAAATTGTCCGTTCCGGTCACCTGGCGCAGTTATGCACCAGGCCTGAGAAGTCCGTTGCAATCACTCCTGGCTGAGTGACCAGATGGGGTATTTTGTACTGCTGGCTGTGACTACAAAGTATTAAGCCGTATCAGTTTAACGCTCCAGTCAACACCATATGGTCATATACGAGGCAGCACCTCAGAGTTTACATCCGTCTCCAATAGAACTTCAGAAACACCCCGCTAGGGATTTCAAAACACAGCCATCCACACCGGAGTTAAAAATGACACCTACTAAGCTAGGTAAAGACTTATACAACATGCATAACCAACAAAATAAATTAACAGACTGCTGCTTACAACATAAACACTCACTGCCGGTCACCACAGTGCAGTGCCTTATTTTTTAGCTAGAGTTAATGTGGCTTGCTCAAGGAGACACTAAACTGGATATTTTTGAGTAAAGAGAAACATATCTAAACGATAGATGGCGTGATGTGGCGTGATGTGGCATGGCGTAGCTTTGTACAGCACAAGAGTCAAACTCATGGACCGCCAGCCATTCGGCGCAGAGACCGCTTATGTCCGACCTGCAAGGAAATTTAAGCGGTCTATCCTGAGAATTGATAACACAGAATCTTACTCCAAGCACAAACAAACTTGTTGCCAAGAAAAGACCAAACATCCAACTCCAACAAACTGGCATGAGCAAAAACTTTGTATGCCTTCATTTGTTATCATTTTCACTTTGTCAGTTTTTATTCAAATCATTGTTTAAAAAAGGCTTAGTCGTCCATCAGACACACTGGTTGCATAGTACGATAAGGATTTAATGGCATCTAACATAACTTAAGGTTATAAAAGAGGCAGTACCCCCGAATTCAAAATCAAATCTCCAACATGTCAGAGCAAAATGGGTGTAGAGTCTTGAAAACTTGCCAAACAACTCTGATCCAAACATACCTGCATCTGAAGACTTGAACCAAGGTCAGGCATGTGACAGAAAAGCAATGATAGCTACTCAGCCACATGTGCCAGATGAAATAAAGTAACAAACTCTAAAGGATACGGTGTTCGCCTCTCATTCAATAGGTTCCGGGTTCAAAACCTGACAGCAATGGAAAATTTTCTTCTCTAAATATGTTCTCCTTTCACCTCCTCGCCAGCTCTCAAACAATGTTCTGTTATCTGCTTTCATTTCCACTTTCTGCCCCCCCCCCCCCCAACCCATTTGCCTCCTCCTCCGGGCTCCCAGCTCTTTCTGCAGCCTTTCTACTGCTACCCCTTTGCTCCTTCTTACTGCTGTCTTTCAGCCACAACCCTGATCTTATGCAGACCTGCCACTCTATGAAATCTAAAAATCAGGATTTTAGAGTTAAAAAATAAGGATCTGGTGAAAAAAATCGGGATCAACGGCAAATCAGTCATAAGGGGTACCGGGGAAGGGGGGTCCTGGTTCCCTTTTATGAGGAAAGTAAGCAAGAGAAAACTTTTGCAGGAATAAGTTCACGTTTGGGCCACTCCAGCTTCCAGCGGCTGAGGTCATTTTTCAAGGATTTTCAGGTCAAGGGCAGAGCCCTGGCAGGGGGTTGAAGGGGGACAACGCCCCCTTTATGTTTGAGAATTTTTGGTTTCAGAGCATCCTAAGTATGCCATTTCTGGCTATTCAGGCCTAAATTTAACTACAAAATAATTGAGGAAAAAAAACATACCTTGTATAGGCCTACATAATTTTCTGCTTGTGGTAATCCATATATTTCCAAATCCAAAGCCATGCTTTCTCCCTTGTACAGATACTGTACATCCACAACTAGATCTATAAAACTTGACAGTTAATGTTTAACTTTTTTCTGCTTGTGTTGGTTTGCACCATAATCAGCATAAGGTGTGGAATTCTTACAATAATAGCTTTTTATAAAACAGTTTGACTTGATCTCTAGATTCTAGTCTAGATTCTAGATCTAAATAACTTGACAGCTTATATTCAACTTAAATTCACAACAATACTTACAAATAAACAAGTCTGGTAAAAAAAAATTAAGCTCTCTTTAGAGTTTTCTTTCCTTGGCAGGCCCAAGATCTATTGAACCACAATCGTCATTTCTTCCTCTTGTTTACAGAGCTGGTGCTGTGCTTCTTGTGCTTTAGAAAGTGAAAGTAGAAGACACTGTCTACACTTTCAAATAAAAAAGCACTTCCGGTACGGGTTGGCTATTGTTGACTATTGGTAATAACGGAAAAATTTTATTTCGCGTTTTTGAATTTTTGAATTTTTTTTTTTGGGGGGGCACGAATTTTCACGGAAATTTTTCCATTTGCGGAAATCCGCAAAATTGCGGAAGACTGGAAGCCCTGGCCACTAAATAGAGGGAAAACTGAAAGACAGCTTTACTCGAGTCGGAGTGGCATAGACTGAGGGAGCGCAGGTTGCAGTAAAGCTGAAACTCTTGTAGTCTTGAAAATAGTTGACACATAACGCTAATCATCCATGCAAAAAGCCTGCGTTTTCATACAGTAACAACATTTGACTCACATCGCATTATACACTCAAGGCGCACCCCCCGAAAAAAAAGATTGCGCCAAGGTTGTTCATTTATTTCTTTTTTCTTATTCCTTTATCTTCAATTAGTAGATTCTACATGTATCACAGCACGCACTTTAAGCCTAAGTGTCAAAGCAATACCCCCACCCGCTCCCCCCGGTCGTCCACACTGGTTAAGTCCCGAAAAACACCCCGACCAAGGCGACTGGTGTGAATGAACTTTGCTGACCCCGACAGCCGACGGTCCCCGACACACGCGGTACTCACACGTATGAGGTCATGTCACGTGTTGCGAATGAGCGTTTGAAAGTTCCACGGACAGGTCTTGATGATGGGCCCGACTAACCAGAACTCAAGACGAAGCTTGCTTTTAAACCAACGGCAGAACAATGAAAAGATTATTCTTAGGCCCATGACATAATTGTTACAGTAATCAGGACACAGTCGGAGAATTCTGGGTTATAAAAGCGAAAGTACATCTTGAGCGTGTCCATGTCGGAATTCAAAATCGATACTATGTCGGTTTTAGTTGAAATAACGTGCGAGAGTCATCTACTAGATTCAGCATAGATGCTTCAGAAAGTAGCGTTCCAAGTTCCTGCCGATAAAAAATCTAATTGGTGCTTCCAAGCAAAAGAGATTGTACAACTTTTTATATTTTTTTCTAAGAATCGGACGCAACTGACACGACGACAAAAAATCAGGATACTGGTGATCGAAATCGGGAAAATCGGGATGCTTGAGATTTGGCGCAAAAAATCGGGATATCCCGATTAATTCGGGATGAGTGGCAGGTCTGTCTTATGGTAGGGAAAATCTAACACCTAGCCTTCTCGGATGAGGGTGAAAAATCTCCGAGGTCCCATGTGCAAGTTTCATACGTTAAAGATCCCTTGGTGGTCCTAAAATCAATAAGAGTAGGCTTCAGTCACCGGGTTAAAATTCAAAATTCCTACCAAATTGAAAATGTTTAAATTGTCCCGTTCGCTCGTGTGACCTTGTGCAGTTGCGAGCACCGTAAAACACTTCCAAAACAAACAAAACAAACCTGCTTTGGCCAAACCAGTTTCCCATACAGGCTACCACCACAGGCCAGCCTGTGGACTGCATGAGGCCGTTCAAGATCCAGATGAATGCGTAGAAATATTTGTTGTAGAAGGTCGCCCACTCGCACACACAACCAAAGATAAACACCTGAAAAGAAACAAGAACAGTAATTTAAAGAATTCAGAAGCTTGTAACAGAACTCTTGTACTTGTTCTCTGGTTATTCAGCTTCTTTGTGTTCATTCTGAAAAAGCATGAGAACGAGAGAACTTACCATCACAGCACTGTTTTATTCTCAAGAATTGAAGATTTCTAACAATCTGGACAGATGAATTTTATTTAGGAAAGGGGAGGTGAGAAAGGTTGCAAAGTTTTAGAAAGAGTTTTACGGCACTTGCAACACAATAAGAATTAAGGTCATATTATAAGTGCCAAAGATTAGAAGTGTTTCAAAAAAGTATCAAACACAAAAAAGGAGGAGAGATAAGGACGATAAATATTTGATAGGAAAAAATGAGCAAACCACGCCAGAGCACCCGCTAACCACCAATAATGTTGGATAGAAGCACATGTTAAAGGTAAAAAAAAAGGAATAAAACTCTCTTATTTAGAAGCCTGGAAGGCCTACACCACGAAATTCAATGGATCCAAAGCTAGAAGACCATGAAAAAGATGGATAAACGGGAGTAAAAAAGACCCTCTAAAAGAACAACATGGCAATCCTAAAGGCAACACACCTGACCCACATCTAACATTTGCACCTTCCCTCAACACCATGTTGTACAAGGGAAAAGAAAAAGTAAAAAAGGACAGAAAATAATTCGTTGAAACTGAAAGGAGGCAGGGCAAACTCATCGATTAAGGCAGGTTTTGAAACAATATGTCAAGACAATAAACATTATATCACACACTCTATTCAGTAAAGTCTGAATATCAGAAATGACTCGATTTACCATTGATCCCTTCATATAAAGAAGTCGTGAATTAACTGATTCCGTCCATTCGGCCGCTGACAGCGGCTCTGAGTTTTTCCGCTGCATCCATTCGACCGCTGTGAGCGGCTCAACGAAATCCGAAACAAATGTGCACTTTTAACTTAGTCCCTACTTTTTAAGTTGTCGAAAGGAAGTAGAACTTGTAAACAAACCTGACCTCAATCTCTGAGCGCCAATATGGATCGAAAGTCTGCAAAATTCTTGCAAAAATCTTTGTTTTGTTGTCGCTATGTAGGCTAGATCTAAAGGTAAATAACACGTAGCCTGGTATAAGAAAACGGCCGTTCAAAGAAAGATATTCAACTAAATTTGTGAAATTCTTGCATAAATGTGTGCTAGGGTGATATCGCTACAATTTTGTGTTGATTCCTATGGATTATAAGGACTTGTAGTGCTGAAAAAATGCGGTAAGTCGAAATTTTCAAAAGGTGTTGCGCAATTTTTTTTCCTCATTCGTTTTTGTCTGACGGAAAATACAATACAAACAGATTATAGCTCATTGTTATTGATATAAACAGATTCCTCTATTGATTCCCATCACTTTGGTATATGACAATACATAGAGTAACTTAGAGCTTCACAGTAATGCATTAAATAGATGCACCCCAGGTCTAAAACTGAACAAGGAAAAATAATTCTGTCCAGAGCCTGAAAAAAAATCATGGACGGAATCATTTAAAGCAAAAACTAAAAAGCAAGTAATAAGACCTTATCTTTTTAAAAATATTTTTTCTTTATGTAAGTGTTTTTACTTCCCCATCAACACAAGTTACAGTACAACACGGATAGCTCAAAATCTTTGGGTTAGTTCGAGGGACATCTTACAAAGATAAAGAAGAAAAAAATAAGGGACCTCAGGCTCAGTTCGACGGATGCGTGATTTTGAGTCTTCTCTGTTCGACCTATCCGTGTTATACTGTATATCATTAAGAAGGTGGGCTTCGACCAGAAAAATATTCTCTCCACTCAAGAATAAAACTTGGGTCTCATGTGCGAGACAGTGAAACACCTTACTTACTGCTACACCGAGTCACTGATACAGAGACCTCTAAAGATTATATTCAAAGGAGATTATTGTAAACGTCCTAAATTTAAACTGTTTTTCACAGTTCATCCCAGCATAGTAAACTTTCAACTCACTCCAAAACTACCGATATTGCACAAAAATTCAATATCCATACAGAACTTAACATTCTATGGAGATTTATAAGTGTTATTTTTTATGAATGAAACCTTATTCTGAGAGGTCATGGGAGAGGAGATAGGAAATCAACCATCAATCTATAAAGACAAATCATACATACCATCACCGATGAGCTTGCCATGCCTATAGTGAGTAGAATGCGCATATTCACCCTGCAAATAGATTTTTATCTCTGCATATATATTACAAAATCAATATAATTTCAATCTTCTCGAACACATTTCTGTGGCCAAATATAGGCATGAAAAGAGAGAGGAGAGAGAGAGAGAGAGAGAGAGAGAGAGAGAGAGAGAGAGAGAGAGAGAGAGAGAGAAAGAGACGCAAGCGGAAGGGTAAAAAATTCACAAAGAGATAAGTCACTGACACAAGAAGAAGGCGAAAAAACAGAGACAGTACAAAAAAGGAAGGAAATGG